TTATTAATCACAGAACAGCAGAAAACAGCACTGCCCATCTGGCTTTGGCAAACCTATGTTCTTAAAGTCTTCTTCATTTGTAAAGCACCTCGGCTGACTCTGGTGACCAACCTTCATGTCTTGGTGCTTACAGCCACATAATAATCCTCCTCCAGCCCCTAAGAAAGCTTCAACAAGCCAAGCTGATAGCGACCAAAAGTTATTACACCTCTTAGGGCTCTTGCATAGCTTATGTGAAATGTGTCGGTCATCTCAGCAATACTCTCAGATAAAGCATGAGAATGTCATGTAAAGAAGAAAATAAAATTGAACAGTATCCACATTTTTAAAGGTTTTTCCCTAGCCAATGAAGGAGTGCAGGACCTGACCATGCAAGGAGTTAACACCCTCTGGGTCTAATGAAGTATAACCTCAGTTTCTTTGTACTCCCTGAGGTATGACCATAATGGCATTGCTTTAACATTTCATCCAGTATGTGACTGCTGAACTGATGTACATGAAGAATACAGAAATGAAAATGTATTTATCTGGGTTGCAGCAAACATGAAAGAAAAAAAAAACCACCAGCATTGAAAAAAAGATCTGACAAGTTCATGTGAATGCTCTGCATTTAGCTCTTGTTTTAGAGCAACAGTCTGTTAGGTTGGCTCCTCTACAGTTTAATGATTTCCTGTTAAGAATTTAAAATTAGAAGCCTCCAACAACTTCCCCATAAACCATTTTCAAGGTTCCTTTAATATCCACATCAAGGAGATATAGTAGGTTCATATGTTATCCATGTCAGTTCACTTCCTTCCCACTTCAAAATAAGCACATTGCAGGAAAATTCAGCAGGTTTTTTATTGTTTTCTTAGAACCTTTTTTCTCCACTAAGTATGTCCAGCTATAGTAATTAAAAAAAATAAAACTGTTCACATATACAAGCTCATATTTAAACCATGACAAAACAAGAACCACCAGTCTAATCTGAAAAGCCTAAACTATGCTAGACCATGATCCAAATATTCCATTGATGAGTTAGCTTGAATCTTCAACTACATTCATACTGAACTTCATCTATGTCAAGACATAAATTTCATAACACATTTTTGCTTTTTGACAAGTACCTTACCTTTAATGAAAACACGCAAACAATAGTCTTGCACTGGCAGCATATGAAACACATTTGATCTCTTTCATCCAGGCTTTCTAGAACTATATTCCTCCAAAACAGACACAGTATTTATTTATTTACTACTTTTCACTTATACATCTCAAACTATATAGCACTGTTTATTCTTTTGACTCAGAAACAATATAATAATTGCAGTAATTATACTATTACACCACATTTACAAAATTGAGATAGGCATATAAAAGGCAGAGCATCGGCAGGCATCCCATCTGGGTTCCTCACTGGGTCAATGAAAGGACTCAAACACTAATCACCACCTTTTGACAAATATCAGCATCTATACCTGGCCACCAAAAATGCTCATTATGTGAACACTAATTAATTTCAGTTAAAAATTACTCCAGTGAAACTGCAGTAGACTTAACCTGACCTACGAACACACCAGTGAAAAAAAATTCAGCAGTAAAAGAGGCAATCCTGCTGCTTCTTACATAGAAGACAAATGTACAGCTCCTAATTTGGCTGAAATATAAATCTGCACGCATAACTGAAAAAAACACCAAAAAAAATCCTTTTCGGTTTGCAGCTCAACCACAGACTCAAAAATTGTGAGAGAAAGACAACACTGCTACTTAGTGCAGTAATTTGCAGACCAAATTGACTTGTGAGTCATTAATCCATGGTTTCATATACAGGTTTGGAAAAGCTGACACGTACAACCTCCTCTAACAGAGGTGAACTTCAGCAATTCACTGTTGTTCAGAAATAGTAACTTGGCACTGATGTCTTGCTGGGATTTTTTTTTTTTTTTTAAGGGTTTTGAGTTTTTTGTGGTGCAGAACAACATCAGGCTCCAACCACTTTCTACTCAAATTACACAACCATCTTTCTCTGCAGATGTAGAAGCCCTTCTACATGAACTTCTTCAACAGAAGGAATTTTGACAACCAAGAGGTTGTTTGATCTCTAGGGCCTTTTTTTATAATAGAAGACTATGATTAGATTTTCTTTATACATTTACCCATTATTAGGCTTGTCTGCATCCCCATCCACTACAATGATACACAGATGTACAGAGCCATTGCACTCCATACGCTTTACATGTGAGTTGTTCAGATACCCAGATGCATCTTCAAAAGCTAAGATTACAGAAGATGGACTGACTGAATGCTTTTGCCTAAACAACATACATTACCATTTTGCTTTCAGACACAGGCAGTATTTATAAGTGTCCTTTAAATGTTTCCCTATATAAAAAAGACAAAAGAAAAGAGAAAGATACCAACAAAGACAAGAATATCCATCAGAACCTCTGCCAACAAGTACTGGAGTCAGAAAGATTTTCTAACATCTGCAACTATTAATGAGCAATTGCATTAAAATAATTTACGGATGTGAACAGCACATCACTGAATGGAGCCATTTTGCTAATAAGTTTCCAATACAGCTTAAGGAAAAAAATCCATTCAGCAAACAGGATACCTCTTAAGTTTAAAGGCATTCAGAGAACGGACCAATTATTTAATAAAACAAACTTTTGTAAGTTTGTTTTGCTACTGTTACTTTGAATAGTTACCTACTATCTCAACATTAAACACACATACAGTGAATTGAGGACTCCACCAACTCTCTAATAATGCCTTTAAGAACAAAACATGTATCTGCAATAGAAGATCACCAAGTTGTTCAATACATAAATATATCAAGCCATACAGTACTAATAAACAACAAATGCTAGTCTATCTAAATTTTATTTCTACCTAGAAATTAAATCATTTTTGCCATAAAGATTATTCCTCAGGCTTTACCAAGATGAATTACAGACTGAATACATAACATAATATACTCCAGAGAGAATTTATACCATGTCCTTCTTTCATAGATATGCTTATTTCTTCTCCTTAACTATGCACACTAGTTTTGTCTACAAAAAATTACAAGATAGTAAAAGGCGTAGCCTAGCTAATTTATCTTCTTGATAAGTCATTATGTCTTGAAAAAGTCCACTGCCACAGCACTATCTTGAAAATTGTATTTACTTCAGCCGTTACTTTCAGAAATCTTATTAGATACTTTATTTTAAAGCAAAATAAAGAACATTATAAGTTCAAGAATTACTATTTTCTACATATTATCAATACTTTTTCCTTCACACACAGGAAGGCTGCCTTACCTGTCCCCTCCTAATAGGCCTCTAACCTTTCCAAGCTAGCTCTCTAGAAAGTAACTGAAGTAAATAGCCTCTGCCTCTTGGGGGGCTAATTGCCAATAGAAACCAGCTGTCTTTCCTCAACTGAAAAAAAATCCACACCATCTCAGAAAACAAAAGAAAAACCTGAAGCCACCAATAGGCAAAAGCAAAAGGAAAAAGAGGACAAAGCAATCTTCCATGGTCTGTTTATGTCACATTCCTTTCTTCCCACTCCATAACATTTCTTTCTGCAAATAAAGGACAAAGAATAATGTCCTCTCACAAAACAGGGGGAGGGAGGAATAGCAACAATTTAGGATTATTAAAAACAGTCCCCAAAGTGAAACAGCAGAAGCTCTGCCTCTTATAATTTTTTAAATAAAAAAGAACAAACAGTAAGTCACAGTAGCAGTCCTACATTAGCCAAGAAAACCAAAATAAGACTTGACAGAAGGAGATATATTTCCTAGTATCGTTAGTGCATCTAGGGTTTGGGTTTTTTCTATCCATGCATACGATAAAAAGTTTGAAAAATGCAAAATATTTCACTCTGAATAAAAGTTTTGTTTAAGACCTCGCTAGAGTAGTCAAACTTGAGTGATATTAACTTAGTGCAGTATCAAAGCCTATACCAAGCAGTTATCTCAAGAGTCCTTGCCTGTGTTGCACAGGGGTGGCTAATCACTGGCTACACACAGTATGAGCCTGTTTTAGACCAAACGATCCTAATTGCCTCTGCCTAAAAATCTACCATCTGTGTCCAAGAACTATCCAATATGTTCCTAGTGGTGTGTGCAAGACCCACATGCAAAGCAAATTAGGACGAAAAATATGCCTTGAACAGCTTGATAAAGATAATGAGATATTGATAAAATATAGTGCCACTTCCACAAGGGGCCACAGGGTTAATTTACCACATGGTATCCAACGAGGAACACCAGGCGAGGCAGGTGCACTTCAGGTAAGGTTAGCAAACCCCCTCAAACTCCGGGCTCCCAAGTAATGCTCACCTTGGGCGACCAGCACACCTGAAAGCCATAAAAGGCCCAATATTAGCTGTATGTTACCACAAGTGAAGCTGTAAATACCACCATTTCCACTCATAAGAGAGGCCTGCGGGTACACCGACCCTGGAGCTCGGTGTGTGAGGGGGGACACTCAAGGCCCCCTCCCCCCCACCTTGAGGCCAGGTGCTGGGGGTGCTCAGCTTGCTCTCCCCGTACAAATAAAGCCCCCGGAGCCCCCAAACCCCGAGGCCCACGTCGGGGTTGTGGGGAAGGCACCGTATCTGATCATGGCAGTTACCTGAAGGCTGGGCTGCGATCCCGCCAAAAGTCACAGCCCTGCCCTACCGCACCACCTCGCTTCTCCCTCCCTATCGCTGCCAGTAGGAATTCCCCCCGCCCCCCACACCCTCCTCCCCCATATTTCCTCTCACCCCCTCGTTATAACTCTGTACCCCCACAGCTCTCCGCTCCCCCGGGCTCTCCCCTCCGCCCCGCGTTCGTTCTTTCGAGCTTTCGCGCAGGCGGGTGATTCCCTCCCCCTTCCCTCCTATCTCTCCCCTGTCATCCCCACATCCCCGGCGATCCAGCCGCTTCTCCCTCCCCGGGCAAGGCGGCGGGAGCCCCGGGGCGTGAGGCGCTGGAGGTGGAGCGGGCCGGGCAAGCAGGCGGGGGGGGTGTGGGGGGAAGGCGGCTCCGCACACCCAAGATGGCGGCGGTGGAGCTGGAGTGGGTGCCCGAGACGCTCTATAACACGGCGATCTCGGCCGTGGTGGATAGTTACGGGCGGGCCCGGCGCCGGGATATCCGCTCGTTGCCTGAGAACATCCAGTTCGACGTGTACTACAAGGTACGGGGGGAGGCGGCGGGGGACCGAGCGAGGCCGGGCCCGGCCCGGGCCTTGGGAGAGATGGAAGGAGAAGCGGGCCGGAGGAGGAGGAGGAGGAGGAGGAGGGAGGGCAGGTCCGCTCCCGGCCTACCCCGGGCCTCACCCCGGGGGGCTCGGGGGTTGAGGGGGTGCAGGGCCTCGTCCCCCCCCTTTCCTCCACCGGAGCTGCTTGGCTGCCGGTGCGGAGTAGGGCCCGAAGGGCGGGCTGGGGGTGTGAGGGCCTGTGTGGGGCCGCCGGGGCTGCGGCTGAAGGAGAGGAGGCTCCGGGGAGAGGCTCGGGCCGGGCCGGGGGCCTGCGGCTTCTCCCCCTCCGCTCCTGGGTGCTTGGTCTCCGTGAAACGCTCGGGGGTCGGGGGAGGATGGCGGGGGGAGCCCCGTTGCCGAGGACAGGGAGAAGGGGCCTGTCCTTGGGGGCCGTGGGGTGAGGGCCCGCGGGTGGGGGGAGATGCCTCCTCGCCTTTGGAGCCGGGGAACGGGTAAGGGTAGGATGAGACCGAGCTGCCTGTGTTGGAATATATTTTTTCCCTTTCCCTTTTTTTTTTTTTAATATATTGGAGAAGGTGATGTCAGTGGTAGAAGGAGGAGAGTTTGCCATGCTCTTGTACCTTCTTTAATGATCTGGTAGGAACCAGATGAAAAGAATTGAGACTCATTTAATGATGTAGTTTATTAGCCTTAAATCATTCTTTCAGGAAAGGGCTGTTTCTTATTCAGCTGCCTCTAAAATATCCAGAGTTAAGAGTAAAAGGTACACTGAGATGGTCCATTAATTTCTATTGTCCACTAAATCGGCATTTCATCCCTGTACAGGAGCGGCTGGAAATGAGCATTCATCAGGAGAGAAAAAATATCTAAAAAAGACCCCAAACCTAAGATGGGGGATAACACTTCTTTCCTCTGGCAGTAAATTTCTTAAAAATCTAGGATGTGCTAAATGAGGTGATTCTTTGGACAAATCTTTATGAACTAGGGGTAGTGGCCCATCACATATATAGAGTAATAGTATTTATAAGGAGGGTTAATCTTCACCAGAGATAGGGAGATTGTTTCTGCAGCATTGAAACAGGCATGTACCTTTTCTACATACCAACTGTTACTCGTCTGCCTTATGTGTTGAGAAATGTGGAAAGCCCGTTCTACCATATATGAGCATGCTCACAGATAATGATGTGCTTGACATATGACAATCATCAGATAAAGACTAAAGATATGGAACTAATGATGTGGGAGAATATTTGGGGGTTTATTTTTAACTGTTAGTAGTTATGACTGTTGACAAATAGACGTTCTTGGCATTGCCTGTCCTGATGTTCATTCAGATGAAGAGATGGTACTCTGTGGCTTTTAAAAGCATAAAACCAAAACCTCCTTCTAAGGCTGGAGATACCCAAGTATATATTATTCCCAGATTGTTTAAAAACTCATCTGTAGGTGAGCTTAATAGATCATTGACTTCTTATCCTTTTATTAGCGCTCTTCAGTGGTTGCATTGAATCAGATTCATATGGAGTTGTTCCATAATGAGAAAAGAACCAGCAGTATATCTGACTTCTAAAGGGACTTTTTAATCTGTTTGTTGCACTTGTATGTGCTGGTATGTCATCTTGTTGGGCAGGTGATAATAAATGTGCTGTGTACCCGTCCTCAATGTTTCTGTTGTACTGATTGCTAGCCAGTATACCTTTTGTTAATGATAGTAATTTGCATTGCTTTTCCTATTATTTCTGTACTTTACAACAAGATAATATTTGATAATCTGAAATGTGTAAGGTGCACCTATATTCCTCTTATGAATACACATCTATGAAATGTCCACATACAGAATAAATAAAACTAGGCTACACAGTGCAGCCAGTGTTTTGCCATTGCTGCCAATGGTAGGCTAATCTTCCATGTCTTCACTCTTTGGGGTTTTTGTTATATTTTTTCTGTGTAGGAGAACCTATCCTCTTCATTAGTCACATTCAAATTAGTGTATATGTAAATGTACCTAAACCTTGGATGTGATGCTGAGAGGAAATCCTCAGCCCTTACTAAATGGTGTTCTATATGCAGAGATGTCTGCCTGCAGCGAGTGCCCTGAAGCCTAGCCCAGACTACAAACCTTTTGGAACAGTGTGTGTGTTTTTCTGTGCACCTATACAGCACTTAGTAAGCGGTTCTTGATTTCTGTGTTTGGATGGCTACAGCAATACAAATGACATAGCTGAATTAGGTTAAAATGAGGACAGCATCACAGCTTTGGACAGTCCTCCCATCTTGTGTATGGTGCTTGGTTTGCTGTTTTGGTTCTGGATACAGTTATTTTCAGTCAAATGGATATTAAATACCATTTTGGGTTGGTGAGCTATGGTCAATACATCCTGACAATCAAGTTCTTGAAAGCAGAAGTAGAATTTCCAAAGTCACTAACAGTCTTTAAAGTAAGACAAACTAGACGACTTTTAAATCTTTGTTCTGACTACATAGTGGTGGTTGTTGCTGCTGTGTTGAGGGGGTGTCAGTTGTTATTATCCTATGGAATAGTACTTATTCTTTCAAGACAGCTAAGGAAAAGTGTGTAATTGAGGATTTGCACGAATATACTTGCATTTAGACCTTGAAAAAGATAGAGAATCACTTTCTTACTGTGATTATTAAAAGGAATAAAAATATTTCCAGTCTTTCACATCTAACTTGTAAGTAATGGTTTGTTATTGAGGTATTAATCATGGTTTGTGATACTGGAGAAAGTGCCACTGTTTTTGCAAAAAATAAAGGGTGGTAGTAGTCAGATTTTATTTTGCTACACAGATGTTAATTGGCTGTGGCTGTGCAAGACTTTTTTTACCATATTCTTTGGTATGAAAACTTGAACTTGACATTTGCCAATCTTGCACAGTTTGCCAACCGTTCACGTTGATTAAGAAGACATAGGTAGGATACGGTACTATTACAACAGCGGAGATAGTCAATGTGCTATTATTTAAAAGGGAGGAAAATGCTAGCAGAGTGTCTTGGTCTTTGTTTTTTTCCCCTAGGGTACCCTCTAATCCAGTGTTTGGCTCTATTGTTGTAATATATTGCCTTTATTTCCCATTCCTTAACAAATCCAATTACTTTTAATTCTACATATTCCACAACTGTTAACGTCTAGGACGTGCCTTATAAACCTGTGCATTTGCATTTAACAATGAGGAATCAAACCCGGGATAGTTGCAGAATGTTCTTTGTTGTGGACTCAGTAAGAAATATGTTCTGCTGCAAGATGACAGAAGCAGGCAGGTTCCTAATACTAAGCATATTTATCTTTCTGTAGCTTTCTTAAACACTGACTAAAGCTTAAAAAATGGCAATATCAAATAATCATGATTGCAGTAAAACAAACCTATACTGGTCCAGCAGGGTGTTCCTGGATTTTTTTTCAAGTGGCATTTGACTTTTCCTTGCAACTATTTGAAAAATAATAGAGGCAGAGCCTCTGGAAATTTTCAAGTCTACATTTGTGTTAAAAAACATTTAAATGTCTTATTAATCACAGCTGTATTTTGAAGAGCTTAATAACTAGTATTGTTACAAGTAACACCTGCATCTGGGGGGGGGGGAATTGTGCACACTTACCGTATTTTATTTCCTTTGTGTCTCGGCTGGGTTTATGTATAGCCTGGTTGTGTTGTCTCCTGGTAAAACTGGTTGGGTTCTCTTTGCTGTTTTTTGGGGGGGAAGAGGGAGAGGGAGGCTAGCTTTTAGAATCCAAAGTAAGAAACACACTAGATCTCAGTTAAAGTAGGACGTGCCTGGCAGGTAGGCAGCATTTGCAAATGCCAAAATTCTGTAGGTGACAACTGGAATAAACTGTAAGTGCTGAAAAAAAAAAAAAGGAAAATCAAATTATTGTATTTTGTGGTTTGCTGGGGAGAGCATAGTGTTTTGAGGGAGGGAGTTCATGTCAAGAATCTCGTTTCTGTTGACAGTTCAATATCTTATTTCTATCTAGTCTGATGACTGTTCAGTTACTGTCTTACACACAATTCAGTTCTTTCCCCCATGCTTCAGCTTTATGTTCTATTATGTGTAATTATCTCAGTTCTTTGGTTCTCATGGTGCATTTGAAGAGATAACTGCTTCATTAGTTTTAGAGTTCTCTATTGTAGGTATTTGTTGCAGTTATGCACTAGCAGGCTGGTCTTGGGTTCGCGTTGGCTAACAAGGAGTTTCACCCAATGTTTATTTTACTTTTGGATTGTCTTTTCTGGATTGTGTGTTTTTCTTTTTTTACATTGATTTTTTTTCTTGAAAATCATTTGGGTCCAGTGTTCTTTGAATGTTTTCTGGTGAGATCATTGACCACAAGAATAATTGGAGATGACATTATTTTAGTTAGTGCAGACCTGTAACCTTTAGTAATTGCACTATGCTAACTTGTTTTGCATTAAATTTTTTAGGCAAAATCCAAAAGGTTGTAACCATGCTTTCTCTTTGAAGTGGTAGATAAAACTTCTGAAGTGCTCCTACCTTGATGTGAATCAAAATACCAGATTTTGAGTTTAGACCATGATAGCTCCAACTTCTATAGTAATGAGCATAGCTGCAGTATCATGTCTCCTCACTGTATTCTGCCAATCCGAAAAAGAAAAAGCATGGCTAATAAAAGCTCTCGTATCGCATCTAGGTATTCTTTGAACCAAACAAAATGAATAAACAGGAATTTGCTGACTGTTCATAACAAGCAATAGAATGTCCATTGTCTGCATTGTAGTAGAGATTGTTTTTACCGATGAAGAATGGTTATAAGCATAATTTCTGTAAGATTAGGATAAAACTAGCCTGTCCCAAGGATTCAGTCTCCTGGGTATTTGACGAGAGCGAAGAGGATAAACTACCCATGAAATGAAGTGCTGCTTTAGTTTTGAGGTTTTCTGACCGGAGGAGTACAAACAAGGTCATAAGCAAGCAGTATTTGAGGGAGGCAGAAAATCCCA